TCTAAATTACACAGTTTTGATCATGAGCTAGCCAAATTTCGGTCAAAAACTAACCATATTACACATTTTTTTTGTCAAGAGTTATCTAAATTTTGTTTAAGAGCTATTAAAATTATTTTTTTGTCTATATTTAGGTATTATGTGACAAGTTTATGATAAAAAAATCGTTAGCAATTTAGATGTTATCCACTTGAGGAACAATATAGAAACATATTCAATATTTTAGGGACCAAAATAATGCAATTGAAATATTGAGAACCAAAATAAGACAAATTCTATATTTTGGGGGACCTCTAGTGCAATTAAACCATTTTTTTTATTCATTTCATCTTTTGGGAAAAGTGAGTAACTACAATTCAAACTCTTGGATGCACATACAGACCTTCATTGGTCTATATCATATAACTTTTGTGAGTTTTTTTATAATTTTTTTATTATTTTTATGGATATTTATCATTTTTCTAAGTGTTTTTATTACTTTTGTGAATATTTTTACTATTTTTGTCCGCTAGTTATTAAAATAGAGATAATCTATGTTACTGTTTAGTGTCACTATTTTAAAATTACTGTTTTAACGTTTCTGTATGGTATCAATGTTTGGTGTAACTGTTTAACTCAGAGTCACTGTTTGGTGTAACTGTTTGAATTAAACACAACCAAAACATGCAATTTTTCTGCAAAATTTTCAAGTCTCTTCAAAATATCACAGATTGTTAAAAACAAGTTTTAACAATTTGTAATATTTTAGAATAGTCTAAAAATTAAAACATGTATCAGAAACACAACAAGCAATTATACGAATCCGGGAAATCTATCTTAAGATTGTTGTTTGTGGTATTTCAAATATAGTAAAATCAATTATTGTAATTTTTGATTGGAAACATGTAATGTGTAACAAAACAGTAACAACCAAGTGCGAAACAATTATACAAAAACAATCTTACAGGAAAGAGTTACAGCAGTCTTACGAAACAGTAATAGTAAACAGTTACATGTAACTGTTTGTCAAACCAAAAGAAATACTAACCTGATTTAGTACAAGTACTATTATTGAAGTTGATGTAGATCAAGGTTAGTGTTTGACACTATGTCTTTAAGACAGATTTCGCCCCTACACACAGTGCTTATGGAATATCGAGTGTCTAGCGAACCAAAAATTATGTTGTGTACTCTCTAAATGCAGACCCCTTAATGTCGAAATGCTATGCTCTAATGTTTGGCTTAATGCCGAAAGTGGACTGATTAATGAATTGAATAAATGTATGCATGAACTGAGTATTTATAGACACTTTGGTGACTTTTCAGACATTCAACATACTAAAAAACACAACCCAGAATAAACACAATAGCCAGGAGACACCAATGTTTTAACTGTTCTATATGAATAGACGCAATCCAAATTTTCAAACTAGAAGGAAGCAAAAATCCGACCCAATGTGATCCAATGGATACCGAAAATAAATTTTGGGTTAAAAAATTTCCGCCCAATTAATTAAATAAATTTTTTCCAAAAAAATAGGGTTTGGTCATACCCACACCCGAGCCTGCCCCAGCCGGGGTGGGTAAGTGGTCATGGGTGGGCGGCACACGCGCGCACATATGGTTGAACTAAAGGCATGTAGGTGCTCGCTCCGCTCATAAAATTGTGGTACCTCTTGGGGGCCAATCTTATAGAGCAAACTTGACCTATATATGATCATATTAAATTTTTTTCTCAACTAATGTGGGATTTGTGTCAAATCCCGCATTGTACGACCTTTATTTTCATATTTCAAGAGGATTATTTTGGAGACTATTTTNATATCGCTTTATTGAAGTTTTGAGGTTCATTTTTTAACAAATATATTAAAAAAATTAGGACCATAGGGCTTGAAAGTTTTTGCCCTTTTATTGCATCTAATTGCCTCTTCACTTTTTTCATTTATAGACTCAGGTTTATATTACTAGTCGTAGTATCATGAGTTCTTTTAAAAGAACTCCCATCATATATACATTTTACTAGATGCATTTCTTGACTCGATTATTGTATTGACATGTATATGAAGAATATCAGATTTATGTATGAGAAAATGATATGCACTGTTATTTATTGCATAACCAATAAATATACAATCAATAGTCTTAGGTTCTATTTTAATCCTTTTGGGAATAGGAACCATCACCTTAGCCAAACACTCCCACGCTTTTAAATATTTGTAGGAAGGACTCTGACCTTTCCATAATTCAAAAGGGGTTTTGTCTAACTTCTTGTGGGGTTGTTTATTTAAAATAGAATTTACTGAAAGCAAAGCTTCCCCCGACAAATTCTAAGGTAATTTCGAACTGATCAACATGACATTTATTATTTCTTTCAATGTTCTATTTTTACGTTCAACAATCTCATTTTGTTGAGGTGTATAAGACGCAGAAGTTTGGTGAATAATACCATATTCTTGACAGAACCGATCGAAAGGTGCATTATATTCACCACCTCAATCATTTTTTATTGCCTTAATCTTTTTTTTCAAGTTGATTCTCAACCTCATTCTTATAGTGCATAAATTTTTTTAATGCTTCATATTTACTCCTTAACAGATATAAATAGCAATATCTTGTGCAATCATCAATAAAGGTAACAAAGTACTTCTTTTCACCTCTAATTTGAACGTATTTCAAATCACATGTATCACTATGAATTAACTCTAGAGGTTCAGTATTTTTTTCAATATTATAAAATGATGCTCTAGTTAATTTTGATTCAACACATGCCTCACATTTATGATTTGCATAAATATTGAATTTAGACAATAATTCTAAATTTATTAATTTACGCAATGTATCAAAATTAACATGTCCTAATCTATCATCCCTTATATTAAAAGACTCAAACATATAAGTAGAAAATGTGTTATTATTATTAAAATCATATATAATTATCATTACATTCATCTTAAAGAGCTCATCGCTCATATATCCCTTGTCTACATAAATCTCACTTTTTTGTGAGTACAAATTTGTTGGACTCAAAAACCAATCTAAAACCCTTCTCGCTCAACAACGATCCAGACACAAGATTTTTTCAAATTTCTGAAACATGTAATATATCATTGAAAATAAGTTCTTTTCCAGAAGTCATCTTCAATATAACATTTCCTTTGCCTTCAACTTTGGAAGTAGAGGAATTTTTCATGAAGAGTTGTTCTCCATCATTAATTGTTTCATATGAAAAGAACATCTTCTTATCCGAACATATGTGTCTAGTGGCCTCGGTGTCTACCTACCATTCCTTGATATTTTCCACCAAGTTCACTTCAGATATTACAATAGAAAAACTTATGTTAGAAACATTTTCAGAAAATTTTTCTACCTTGGTTATATTAGTTTGGACAGCCTTCCTCTTGTGGTTCACTTATGCTTTACGGCTTTGACAATCTTTTACACAATGTCCCAGTTTATTGCACACAAAATAATTGCCTTTAAACCTTTTAAAATCACCACCCTTGGCCCCTTATTAGCCAACATACTTCCTTTTCTTGTTGGTTTTATGTCCTCTTCAATCACATATGCCTTTGACTTTATGGAATGATTGCCAACTTTTTTTTCAGAGACTCTATTATTCTCCTCCAAAGATTTCCACAACTCTCTATCTATCATGATTGGACTATACACATTATATAATGTGTTATCTAATCTATTGAGAATATAGTTTTTGCACAGAAAATCAAAATGCTTCCATACATCTACCACAACAATAACTTGGAGGTCGGTTTCATCATTCTCACTACAAACAGAAGCATTCTCACGAAGAAATTTTGCAAGATTCAATGTAGTGAGATATAACAACATTTTTTGTTGTCATCTCTTGAAATCGTTCCCATTGAACTTTTCGGGTTTTACCCCATGAGACACATGAGTAAGAATAGATATAGACATCATAGACACAACATGATTTGTAGTAGTAAGAACATTATTATCATTTGCAACCATTTTTTATCAACAAAGATTACAAATTATTTAAAAATAAAAAAATAGTTACACTTTTCAAAACAAGTTATTAAAACAGAGACAATCTATGTTACTGTTCAGTGTCACTATTTTAAAATTACAATTTTAACGTTTCTGTATGATGTCACTGTTTAGTTTTATTGTTTAACTCAGAGTCACAGTTTAGTATAATTGTTTGAATTAAACACATAAACAAAATATGTAATTTTTTCACAAAATTTTCAAGTCTCTTCAAAATATCACAGATTGTCAAAAACAAGTTTTAACAATATGTAATATTTTAGAACAGTCTAAAAAAATTAAAACATGTATTAGAAACACAACAAGCAATTATACGAATTTGTCTTAAGATTATTGTTTGTGGTATTTCAAATATAGTAAAATCATTTATTATAATTTTTGATTTGAAACATGTAATGTGTAACAAAACAGTAACAACTAAGTGCGAAACATTTACACAGAAACAATCTTACAGGAAAAAGTTACAACAGTTTTACAAAACAGTAACATCAAACCAAAAGAAATACTAACCCAGTTTAGTACAAGTACTGTTATTAAAATTGATGTAAATTAAGACTAGTGTTTGACACTATGCCCTTAAGACAGATTTCGCCCCTACATACGGTGCTTATGGAATATCAAGCATTTGCCTCCCAAGATTAGGGGTGTCAAACATGTCGTGTTAAACAGGTAAAAAACATGTAAACTCGTATACGACATGTTTAATAAACAGGTAAAAAATTGAAACACGAACAAGAACCGTTTAATAAACGAATAACACAACACGACTCATTTAACACCTCTAATTTTAAACGAGTCAAGATGGGTTGGGTCGGGTCAGATTAACATGATAAATCACTCGTTTGACTCATTTATTTGTTTACCACCCGTTTGACCCATTTAATACGGCAAACCAACCATTTGACCCATTTACATGTTTATTTAAAAATGCTATATAACTTTATAAAATTAACAAACTAACACAAGCAAATGTGATATTTAGATATACCACACTATTATATTATAAAGTACAAACTACAATCCTAAATAACCAAATTCTACCAACAAGGCAACAACCATTTTACAAATCATAAATATAATTCAAAATAACATGGCAAACCACCCGATATTGCAAACAATGGCGTTTTTCTTCATCTTTCTCATGTGGTCTACCATGATGATGTTCTTGTTACCAGTGGTGGTCACAAAGATATCAGCTTCAGAGACCACATCTTCAAGAGTAAGAACTTGGAGGCCTTCCATAAGAGCTTGAAGAGCACAGAAGGGATCAATCTCAGTCACAATCACACGGGCACCAGCTTGCTTCAAGGCAGCAGCACATCCCTTGCCCACATCTCCATAACCAGCTACAACTGCAAACCTTTCCAGCAATCATCACATCAGTGGCTCTCATCAGACCATCAAGAAGCGAGTGGCGGCATCCATACAAGTTTTCAAACTGGTCGAACCAGAGTCATAGTAAATTGTTAGAATAGGGAAGATGTACTTTATTAAACCAAAGATCTATAATGAGCCAAACAAGATATATCAATTGTTGTTTGTAAATCATTGATCAAAGAAAAAGAAAATGCATTTAACGATGGAACCATAGCACGAATCCTTAATAGAGGCCAGTGAACAGGTACTTTACTAAACTAAAATCCATACCAAGCCAACCAAGATCTATGAATTATTGTCCTTTAAATCAATGTTACAAATCTAATTCTACTACATCAGACAGATCAAAGAAAAAGAAATTGCATTTAATGATGGAATTACAACACGATTTGTTGACAGATAGCCAAAATAAGAAATCCTTAATAGAAGCCATGCCAACATCAACAAACTCATACTACCTCTGAGATCTAGAACAGAAACAACAAGATTTATACAACTCAAAAATATCAGCTAATTTGGCACCAAATATCTAATGCGACAGCCAATCTTTTTACAAAGTAATCAAATGGAAAATTAAGTTACATAAAAGAATTAAATAAGGTGCCGACTTCATACCGATTTTGTGTGTTCGAATCCATATTATTTTTGATAAAATTAAAACATCACAAAAACAAAATAGTTTAACACAGATCTAAATACCAATAACAAAGAACACACAAAATAAACACATGTTGCATATATGCCACATATATTAAGGAAAAAAGGATTTACTGGTGGTAAGTAGTTCGTTGAGTTGCTATCAAGACTTCAGCAGCGTAGAGTCCAACAAGGCTTCAATGGGTGAAGGTAAAACAACGTGGAGGCGCAACAGCCAACAAGGCTTCAGCAGCGTGGAGGCACAAAGCAGTTCGCTACTTCGCAGAATGGAGGCGCAAGAAGGAAAAAGCGGGGTACAAAGAATAAGGGTTCGGGAAATAAAACTTTATATATTTTTGGTGGGGCTGCTATTAAAATAAAAAATTGGTTAATTTTTTAACAATAATTATTATATTAATTTTATTTAAATGGATTGACATGTCTCACCTGAATATGACTCATTTATTAAACGGATTAACCCGTTTATCACCTGAATTCGTTAAGGTCTCACCCAAACCCGTTTAATCCGTGTCGGTTAATTGTGACGTGTTGAATTTTGACAGCCTACCCTGGATACAATGATCTTACATAAACATAAGTAGCACTGAAATCTACTTAGTCCAGTGAACTTGTGTTGTGTACTCTCCAAATGTAAACTCCTTAATGACAAAATGCTATGCTCTAATGTCTGGCTTAATACCGAAAGTGGACTGATTAATGAATTGAATAAATGCTTGAATGAACTGGATATTTATAGGCACTTTGGTGACTATTCAGACAACCACCATACTAAAAGGCACAACTCAGAATAAACACAATAGCCAGGAGACACCACTGTTTTAACTGTTTTGTATAAACAGATATAATCCAAATTTTTAAACTGGAAGGAAGCAAAAATTCGACTCAGTGCGATCCAATGAATACCGAAAATAAATTTCGAGTTAAGAAATTCACGCTCAATTAATTAAATGAATTTTCTCCAAAAAAATAGGATTTGGCCACACCTACACCTGACCCGATCGGGGAGGACGGACGGTTGAACCAAAAACATGTAAGTACTCGCTCCGCTCATAAAATTGTGGTACCTCTTAGGGCTCAATCCCATAGAACAAACTTGACTTATATATGCTTATGTTAAATTTTTTCTTCAACCAATGTGATATTGGTGTCAAATTTCACATTGCACAACTTTTATTTTCACATTTCAAGAGGGTTATTTTGGAACCTATTTTTTCATTCATTTCTTACTCGATTTAAGCAAGTAAATATACTACATTATTCTTCTCACGGAATAGAATACGAAACCACAAAAATTTACTTGAAACGACAAACAGATTCTACTTTAATTTAGGCTCAAAGTCGACAAAAAAAATTAATTTTTACACATAAAAAACTGTTTTGGTCTAACAAAAAGTATACAAGATCATACCTAAAGCTAAACAAACAGATATCATGACTAGACACTATCCTCATTTTTCAGTGTAATTAGGCAAGCAAGCCAGATAAGAAACAATTTCACCACAAAACCCTGTGGCAATACCAAAGGCAATTAACCCAACGCACAAATCTCCCGTTTATTGCCCGACCTACAGCGGGATTTGAGAGAGGTGAATGACAAACATTACTATCCCCATTGTGGAATGACCGGTTTCGGATTCCAAAAATAGTAGAACCTACATCCAAAGTGCATAACCTGGCACTTCCGATCATCATCAGCAGCTCCATTACCAATTTATGACTTTTAAATGCAAAGTTGACACCCAGCACGACCACAGCTCTCCTAACCAAGATCTAGACTCTTTTTCATGCTTTCATAGGCCAGATATGTAATGCTTGCTGCTGGTACGACTTTGAAAAGATTTGGGAGAAGCCCTTTGTAAAAACCTATAAACCCTTCATGCTGAAGAGTTCTTTGAATCAAGTCAGACATTCCTTGGTAAGCAGCAGCTGCATTAGAAGGTTGAGCTTGCATTCTGAAAAAAACAACAAATTAAGCAAGCATCACCGGTTACATTTATGGATTGGAAATTGTTCAAGCAAACCAAATAACCGAGCAGAGTAGGACATTCATACTTGAACTTTTACCTTGTTCTGACAACCTGCAACGGATAAACACATGTTGCTCCAAGAGCTCCCGATATTGTCCCACATCCCAATTGCACCAAAGGACCAGGTTCTGCAGAAATGCAAAATTTTTTTCAAGCAATCTTCACAATAGAATCGTGTGCAGAAATAACATGGAACAACAGTAGAGAGAAGCAAATGAAACACAAATCATACCACCATCATGGAGAATACAACTCTTTGACATGTCTTTTAGGGTCTCGTACGCTGCTAAGTCGATGCCAGCATAGGGAATAATTCCAAGAAGAGATGGAACAAGACCTCTATAAAAGGCCCGAGGTCCCTCCTGAACCCATATATCTTTTGATAGTTTTGCCAAGCTTGGAACCTTCCCACCTTCACAAGCATAAGTCTGTAACCGGGTTTTCAAAAGATCCATGGGATAAATGGCAGTTTGTGCCACTGCACCAGCCATACCACCAGCAATAAGTCGCCCAGTGGTTCCAATATTACCCCTGTCTTCTCCTTTAGCATCTGCAATGGCATCCTTCAACCTTTCATAAGTATAAAATTTGATGGCACTTTCAGGGGCAACCTTCAAAACGTTTAACCCATTACCTCGGAAAAACCCTAATAAACCACCTTCCTTCCATATCTTCTTAACTGCAGGAATAATAGCAGCATGTGTGGTCTCAACCTGTAAAACCACCTTAAGACGGTCAAGAGGAGCAGTTGCAGTGCGAGAAGTGGCTCCTGCTACCGCCCCAGCAATCAAATATTTGGTAGCATGAACATGCTTACTGATGCCTTCAGGGAAAACAGCCTGTTCCCCAATATCTACTAGATATATCCTTTCCCAAAACTGGTAGATGTTTTCAATGGTTGCCTCGTGGGGATAGAGTAGAAGAAAGTCTCTCCATTCTTCAAAAGTTATAATTCCATTATTATCTTTATCAACACGCTCCACAAAAAGAGCAAGTTCATCATCATCAATTTCAATCCCTGCAAAAGAGAAACTGCCGTGGCTTATCAGAAGAGTGCATAAACTGGGAATCAGTGGCGGCAAAACTCTTCAACCTTTGATATGAAAGATAGAGAATCTGAGAATTCATATCAAAGATCAGCTGCAAATTTCAATGATAGCAAATGTAAATTCCACAGAAAAGATAATGGATTAAAAAAAAAAGCACGGGAAAAGATAAAACAATACTCCATAAACATGACTGCATATGATAAGATAGGGGAGTGGTTTAAACTTTAAGGGGAGGAAAAGAGAATCAATAAACCAAAAACCATGAGTTGGTGCATTTTATGCTCTCTGATTAAATTAAGGATAGTAGCTGCATTAGGAAAAGCAACTAATGATTGTTTTACAAGGCTACAGAATAGATTTAAAAACATTCAAGATATCATAAAAGAAATATCTTAACAATGACTGGAAGAAAACCAACCACCACCTATGCAGTGCAAGGGATTTTCAATCACTCTGACCCCCCAACTCCACCTTATCAGCTCCTCCTTCCCACCCCTCCACCCTGTCAGCCCCTACCCCACCACTTTACCCTACCATTCCCCCAATGCCTCTCCAACACCCTTCAGTTATTAAAAAAACTAGTCCACCACTTCCCCATTTACACCCCGTCAGGCCCCACCCTATCAACCCCTTCGCCAACTCATGGTTTTTTATTTGGTTTTGCTAGTATGTGGACTAAGTAGAATTTCAATGGTAAGGGAAACCCACATGTGATGAATTTGATTTAGAGAAAAAATGGCCTAAGTCCCACAATTTCTAGTTCACACGTTACACAAAGACATGATCTAGAAATGGACACGAACCCCAAAATGACACTACTCAAACTTGACATGACATGAATCAAGTGACACCCCTATTTCCAGGCTCAAACCTATGTTCTATCACTTTGACAGATGTGCACTTGCCATCGCTCTGGGCCCGACCCCTTCTTTTCCCCTAGGATATATAAATAATTGGCAATCCATTCTATANAATCAAGTGACACCCCTATTTCCAGGCTCAAACCTATGTTCTATCACTTTGACAGATGTGCACTTGCCATCGCTCTAGGCCCGACCCCTTCTTTTCCCCTAGGATATATAAATAATTGGCAATCCATTCTATAAATTATAGTTTCCATTTGTTTCTATTCACATACGATATCGCAAAAGAAAATAGACAAACCCATTTTATAAAGTGCAATTGAGAGAACATTCCGGACTTCAATATCCAAGTGAAATTAACATAACTTGTATAAAATAGACAAACCCATTTTATAAAGTGCAATTGAGAGAACATTCCGGACTTCAATATCCAAGTGAAATTAACATAACTTGTATAAATATTCCACTACCTACGTAAAGTCAGATAGGACCTAAAATATATAAAAAGAATAATTCTAACGAAGTTCCTTTGATAATTTGGAACTTCTAAAGTAGCAAAGGGCATCTTAAATATAAACCCAACAAAAATCCTTTTATTAAATGAAAAGAATTTTTAAGCACACTATTGGCTTCACTTTCGTTTGGATGTATCATTTATCCAAATCAAAAGCAAAAAATGGGTTGCACTTGGTCAACAGCCAGCACAAGTCCAGTGAACAAACCTATAAGGACAGATTAAATTCCATCACAAATAACAAACCATGACTATACCCCTTAAAATTTCCAAGTAACTGTATATACGTTAAGAATTTAAGCTCATTTAGCCTCTCTATACACACAAAAGATTATACATTATTTTTCATTCTAACTCGTATAGATGTGAGCCTTCAATTCCTTGAAATCTTCTGAATACAACAATATCACTACGAAAACCAAACACTTACCACTAGTATGAGGGGCAAAGCATACTACAGAAAGAACACATTCTTCAATAACCATGATATTTTTGTACGCAAAGTCATACAACAAAATTTTGACGTAACCTAAATCCCCACCCTTCATTTGAAAATTTTGGAAGAACCCTTGAAACAATTTAGTCCACTAAAAACATTGTGACAATGACAGATGTAGCTGGAAGCTTGGGGTGCCATATAGTTTTGAAAAACATGATGTACTATCAGTCTATCACACTCTTGGGGTGACCAATTAAACTTTTCTGATGGGAGGTTTTGTTTTCATTTGGTTGACACTGATGTGAACTATGTAGTCCACCCAACAAAAGGATACAAAACATGAAATAATTCTTCTTTGTGTCGGATTACAGAACTACCTTTTTTTTATTGTACTTGAAAGTTATTTCAATAATAAATCCAATATTCACAGGAATTCCCAAAGTTCTAGCTGTGCATTCCCTCCCTTCCTCCTAAACACACCAGCAACAATCAGATCAACTGGACATCATTAGTTTCATGTACTAGCCATGTCAATGGGTACATGTAATTTTTAAATTTATGTCATGCAAAAGCTCATAAATTTTCCTTTTCATCTGATTCCAATAAGTAATGAACTTCATCTTATAGCATGTAAAACTATCAGGGAATCCAAAACAATTGTACCAGAAGCTTGACAAAATACCAAAATACCAAAATACAAAGCACAATGAAGAAAAGTATGGTATACCAGCCTTAACAAGTGCGTCCCAAAGCTCCTCAGGCAAAATGCACCCATTATGCTCCACATCAATGGCCTGAAAAATCCTATAAAGCTCAAGCTCCTTATCATCCATATACCTCCGAAACTCCTGATAATCTACCCTGCCATCCTTATCGGCATCACAGACACTCAACAAATCCTTAGCATACTTATACTCCGCCGGAATTTGAAGCGCAGACAAACCCACCTCGATTTGCCCATAATCCAAATAACCCACATTGGCCATGTCAAAAAAATTGAATAAACTCCGAATCCTTGAATCTCTTTCTTCCTTTGTTTCTCTCAATGCCGCCAATACGTGGTCAATCGATACCGGTCCCGGCTTCTTCACCTGGTTACAACAACCGGGCTGGTTCGGCCGGTGATCCTTGGCTGCTGTCGCCGGAGAATTCACATGCTCCACGGCCTGTCCTGCCCCAGACATAATCGAAAATCTTCTCAATTCCACAAAGCATCGACGATTCCAAAGTGCCGAGATCAATACATATATTTATAAATACAATATGTGTGAACGTAATAGAATTAGCTTCCAAAAAAATTGAATATGTTGACGGAGAAAATAATGTTTGGAGGATCTTCCTTTGGTGGAGAGGAACACCCGAGCAATTGACCCGGGTTGACAAATCAAGAACTTTTATTGGGTCAAAAAGGGTGGGTCAATTTTCAAAACAACGACGTCGAGAATTTGAAACTCTGATTGAAAGGCAACTGGTAAAAGCAACGAACAACGACCAGTTTTCCTCAGTAGCACATTGAAAATCTGACCAAAAATTACTTCTCCAAGAAAATTTGACTAGGCCAATGGCCACTTTCAGACCAAAAAACGAGAGAGAGAGAGAGAGAGATTGGGTAACAGAATTCTAAGCGTGCAAGAGGGTGTGCGTGAATTGAGCCGAAAACAGAGGTGTAGGCAGATATATGAGATTGGAGATTAGATTATAAGCTTCTTCACTGTCTATGAGTGTGTGTGTGTGTGTGTGTGTGAGAGAGAGAGAGAGAGAGAGAGAGAGAGGATGGAAATTGGAAGGGGGTGGAGGGGAATAGAGAATCTCATTGAAGACATATGGAGCTTTACAGTTCGTCGACTTCTTCAATGCAGCAACACATGGACCTATTGGTGTGTGTGTGTGTGTGGAGCATGCGACATGAGTGCGCCTTTTATAAGCCAGAGAGAGAGGCCCAGCGAAATCAGTGGTAGCAATTTAGCAAGAAAAAACAAAAGCTGTGGTCCTCGTAAATTTGCCCCTTGAAGCTTAGTAGCTTCACCCACACACACAGGTTCACGTCTAGGCCTGTCGGTGTGTCCGGTGCGGTAAATTCGTGTGATAAAAAATTCACATATATTTAATTTATTTATTAAATTATGCATAACGAACCTTCTTATATTAAATTTATGTTGTGTATAAATAATATATAAATAAATCGTATCATAAATTTTGGTTTTTATTTACTTCACACACATAATTTGTTTAAATTCTATCGTCTATTTATTTATAAAATGAGTGGTTTAAAAAATGTCCATATTTTATAATTCTGTGTCATATTCGTTTCATATTTTAATACTCATGACCAATCAATCAATACGTTCAACAAAATGAGTGCCGTAAAAATGAAAATATTAAGATAGATATGTTCTAATTAAAAAAAAAAAATATGGATATATGATAAAATTAAGAAAGACAGAATTCAGAATGAATATATCTGTAAAAAAAATTTGAAATAGTACATATAGGAGATAAAATAAAGGGGAATCGACTTAGATAAATTTAAATATTTATAAGTGGCCTACTATGACACCAATGAAAAAAAAAGTGATATGATAGTTATTAATAGTAAATATAAGGATCGAAGAAAACTAAAATTAATTTAAAATAAAATAATNAAGTGATATGATAGTTATTAATGGTAAATATAAGGATCGAAGAAAACTAAAATTAATTTAAAATAAAATAATAAAAAAATGAATGATAATTTATGGTTTAATAGAAAATATGATCCTTAATAGTGAATACACCTCAATGGCGAAGCAAAATTCATATGGCCAATCCAAAAAATATGGGTGTCAATTACGTTGGGTTTAATTGAATTGGTGTGAAAAATTATTCAATTCGTACATAATTCGTTTAATTAAACAGGTAAAAATTTATAAATCGAACACGATTCATTTATTAAATTTGTTTCATATTTTTTTTATTATTATAATAAAAAAATAATTATTAAATTTTTTTTATTGATCTAATTATTAAACTGCATATATTAGTCTAACTAAATATTTTTAAATAATTATTAATTTATTATTATACTAATTTTATTTAAACGAGTTGATATATCTCATTCAAAAAATTATACAAAATTGCCTTAAACTCGTTTACGTTTCTTGTTACCGAGTAATGAAATTGTCATCAATATAACACCGTGTATTGAAAGATTCACTCATATATATTACGAAACTTCCTTGAATCAACGAAGGATGATTTATTATTGAAAAAAATATATATATTAAAATTGATCTAAATGTGAATATATGGTGGAGTGTCTCTTTCCCGACCCTTCAAAAAATTAAAAGCGTTGATTTAATTTGCTCGTTTTTTTTATGAGTAATGTTATTTGGATCTAAAAATTTGATTTAATTTATTAACATAATGTTGTGGCTTAATAGAAATTATTAGATCAACACCAAGTTCTAATGTTTAATAGAGCCTACAATCAATTCAAAGGTCACAGTGAATTAGATCAGTAAATTCAGTTAAATTTTTAAGTCTCAATAGCATTGCTCTTTGTTTATAGGGTTTGAGAGGGGGTTTAGAAAAAAGAATTTGATGGGCCCATAGTTTTATGTTTGGTTAGTGTTTTTAAATCCAGAATTCATATCTCAGCCTATAAATGGTCCGGTATATTAAATCCACTTGCATGAGATTGGGCAAACTCAAGGGAGGTGGATTTTGTATATTCTAGCCTAGGTTAAGTACGTCAAATGATCATTCTATACCTAATTAAATATCATATCTACCAAATCACATCCCACCCTCCCAATTATTCATCTATGTAATTAAACAAACATTGGTATGAATTAGATAGGCCAATGAATAATATTGTTATTTACAAAACAAATGTGTGTATTGATAATTGTGATAAATATGTGGGTCTCACATATGTATATGTTACTTGCTAAACACAAGTATAAATATGATTGATATATGAATCCCATGTACATAAAGGTAAATATTGAGTTTGGAAGGGTTTGATAAAACCAAACCAATCCAATCCCTCAACCCAGAAACATCCAAACATGCCCCAATCCGACTCCATTTTTCTTTCTTCACCATCACAACAAGAACAAATTTTCAATTGCTTCATCCAAATTCCAATTCTAGGACCCAACAAGATGCCAAACACAGCATAAAGATCTGCCTCCGGTATGGTTAATGAGGGTTCACTCCATGCTATACCATGTTTAAGTGCTGGTAATTGGTCATATTTTAGTCTATAAATGTCCCAGAACTGCAGGGTCCTTACTACGCTCTTAAGCTTTCACTCAAGCCACCTCGTTAATGAACTAGCTGCGCGACAACCAGCCATAGACCACATAATAGGGATCTTATTCACTTCGATTAGACCACATAATAGAGATCTTGACGTAGTTTTAAGTATAGTGAAAAATAAAGTTTCAAACAACATGAATTATATATTACTGTAAAATTTTAAAATGGATAAGATATTATTAACTGTTTCTCAATTGTACTTCCGGCCCCGACGGCATGCTCACATTTTTTTTCCAAAAGTATTGGTATGTAGTAGGGGCCGATGTCGTTAATTGTGTATTATTATTTCTAAAGAAAGGTGGCTTTCTAACAAATTCATATTGTACTTATTCCCAAAACCTCAAATTCAAATTCCATAGCTCAATTTAGGCCTATTAGCCTTTGTAGCGTTTATATAAAATCATTTCTTAAAATTTTGGTTAATAGGTTCAAAAATGTTCTTCCCTTGATATTTTTGAAAAATCAAGTGCCTTCGTTTTAGGAAGATTGATAACAAATAATGTTTTAGTAATTTTCAAAATCAATCATTATCTAAAATACAAAACTTGGGAAAAAGAGGGTCACATTTCCTTAAAGTTAGACATGAACAAAGCTTGTGATAGAGTAGAGTGAATTTTCTTAGAAGGAATGGTGGGTGCTTTGGGTTTTAATGCACGATGAGAGAATATATCAATTAATACCCTCTAAGATATGAATAATGAGGTTGATATGGATTAAGAGAAGAACATTAAGTAGGCCAAGAGACCAGGGTTAATATTATTAATACAAAATTACACTATTTAGGCATACAAATGAGTGAAAGTATCAAACAGATTGGTAACCATTCCCTCTTCGGTTCCTTTGTATATAAACAGCAATAGCTATCGCCATTCCAAACAATGCTACCAACCAAACAAAATTGGGTATTGCCCTCTTTTCATGCACCTGAAAGAAACCGGCAACACTAATTAATTTAAGATTATAAAAAGGTTCGATTTGAAATTCGGAAGACCATCTACTCAAACACCCACTTCTCGTTCAGTGTCTTGTTAGGCGTGGGTGGCAATAGTATCGTGTCGGGTTGTATTTGTATTATGTTGTTTTGAGTTCTTATCGAACACTAATCAACTCTAACTCAATCCGTTTAATTAATCGTGTCATATCATATCGACCTATTTATTTTCGTATCATGTTCATATTAACTCATGAATACAAAATTTAAATGCTCAATTTTATGTCGAAAATATCATTACCATGTAATCGAACATATGCTCATACTTTTTCTATAAACTAAAAATTAATTTAATAAACATAATAATAAAAATGAGTAAAAATATTTTCTTTTTTTTTTTGTACAAGAATTAGGTCACTAGTTGATAAAATATAATAAAAAATATTATATTTTATTCTTATAATATTATTTAAACGTGTTAATTATGTCAATTTCGTGTTGTTCATATTTGATACTAACCCAACCCATTTATTATTCGTGTTCACGGGTTATGTCATGCACGAGTTCGTGTCAAAAAATAGTCAATTCTAACCCACTAATTTCATTTCGATTTCGAGTCTTGAATTAACACCCCTAATCCTTGTACTATGAATGCTAGACTTCTTCAGACTTGAGTTTAATCAGTATCATCTCGTAGATTTATGAAGAAAATCTTTTTANTTTCGATTTCGAGTCTTGAATTGACACCCCTAATCCTTGTGAATCACTATGAATGCTAGACTTCTTCAGACTTGAGTTTAATCAGTATCATCTCGTAGATTTATGAAGAAAATCTTTTTACTACCCAAATATATCCCCCGGATGATTCAAATTGATTAGTTTAATCCTATAAAATGTAAGGGATAGCGATTGAAAAACAGGGTAATATCTTACTTCAAATGGAGCATGTATGTCTGGACTGGGTTTTGGTGATGGGGCTGCAACCAAAATGTAAAAGAGCCCCATAACTCCGGTATGTGTTTGGGTACTGCTATAATTCGATTCGAGAATCAGAGTCTCCCCATCAGATATTTTGACAGATCCAGGTTGAGGATAACAGGTGGACATTCCTACAATATAACCAGCTTCATTTCCTGTTTCCTTTCCTTCACCGTAAGTAGGTATTGAAGTGCATATAACCCGTCCATCCTGAATCAAATTACCAGACAAGCAAACTGTTGGAACAATATAACCAGTCCATCCTCATTCAATTCAACAGGCAATCAAATTGTGGGACAAATAAATTAACTCCCTCAACCTTCTAAATTCATAAATATACGATGGAAAGCAATCATCAGTGGTTTTTTTTCCGATTACATCAGAAAAAACAAAAAAACCAGACGCTTTCACAAGGAAAAAGCACCACCCTTCATATAAAGTGCAGCATTATGCTTACACGTTTAAAATGGGTTAAAGCCCAATTACAGGCTCGTGCGAATTATATACTTGGAGAAATTTGTAGTGAGGGTGAGGAGACATTTGGCAGAAAAAACTTGCCTACTAAGTCATACAGCTCAACAAGGACATACCCATTTTCCTTCTTTGAATAGGACTCTTTTGAAATGAACTTATTGAGGCAATGATTGCAGGCCAACACACTAGAAAAGAGGGGCACAAGTTTTTTCTACTTAAAATCACCAATGTGCTGATGGCCTTTTGCCAAGTCACAAGTGTCAGTTTCTACCAGGTTAACAACTATCTTTGTAGCTCCAAAATGTTTCGGTTTATGCTCCTAACTATTATCTAGATATACCAAGAAAGATGTACGGTCTAATGAGGCTTCAGAGGGAATTTCTTATTATTTAGGTTCCATTTAGGTATTTCAATTCAAAAAAAGACGGTAAAAAGTAAGAATTTGGTTGGGTCATATATATGAAAGAGTATGCATTAAGGCAACATGATTTCCATTACTTTTGGTTTTCAGCAATTTTTGTTGAGAGACAACATAGCCTCCTGCAGGGGATGTAAAAAACAAACCGTGCATCAAGCCTCCTAAAGTTTCAAAAGTACTGATATTGGTTTAAGGTCTACAGTATGCCACTAGTTATAAATTGGCAAATAAATATTTGGAAAAAAAGAACTGATATCTAGCTCTTGCAAGCATAACTCAATGATATCCATTTCAACCTATAAGTTCTGAAAATAATCAAAGATGGCACATAACGATGTTAGATAATACGCAATCAAGTGATCTNAAAACTGATATCTAGCTCTTGCAAGCATAACTCAATGATATCCAATTCAACCTATAAGTTCGGAAAATAATCAAAGATGGCACATAACGATGTTAGATAATACGCAATCAAGTGATCTAAAGAACTGAACATGAAATTAAATAAAGAAAATCACCTCTCCATAAAGAATTGAACCAATCCCCCCTGTGTGCTGGTGTGCANCTGTAAGTAGGTATTGAAGTGCATATAACCCGTCCATCCTGAATCAAATTACCGGACAAGCAAACTGTTGGAACAATATAACCAGTCCATCCTCATTCAATTCAACAGGCAATCAAATTGTGGGACAAATAAATTGACTCCCTCAACCTTCTAAATTCATAAATATACGATGGAAAGCAATCATCAGTGGTTTTTTTTCCGATTACATCAGAAAAAACAAAAAAACCAGACGCTTTCACAAGGAAAAAGCACCACCCTTCATATAAAGTGCAGCATTATGCTTACACGTTTAAAATGGGTTAAAGCCCAATTACAGGCTCGTGCGAATTATATACTTGGAGAAATTTGTAGTGAGGGTGAGGAGACATTTGGCAGAAAAAACTTGCCTACTAAATCATACAGCTCAACAAGGACATACCCATTTTCCTTCTTTGAATAGGACTCTTTTGAAATGAACTTATTGAGGCAATGATTGCAGGCCAACACACTAGAAAAGAGGGGCACAAGTTTTTTCTACTTAAAATCACCAATGTGCTGATGGCCTTTTGCCAAGTCACAAGTGTCAGTTTCTACCAGGTTAACAACTATCTTTGTAGCTCCAAAATGTTTCGGTTTATGCTCCTAACTATTATCTAGATATACCAAGAAAGATGTACGGTCTAATGAGGCTTCAGAGGGAATTTCTTATTATTTAGGTTCCATTTAGGTATTTCAATTCAAAAAAAGACGGTAAAAAGTAAGAATTTGGTTGGGTCATATATATGAAAGAGTATGCATTAAGGCAACATGATTTCCATTACTTTTGGTTTTCAGCAATTTCTGTTGAGAGACAACATAGCCTCCTGCAGGGGATGTAAAAAACAAACCGTGCATCAAGCCTCCTAAAGTTTCAAAAGTACTGATATTGGTTTAAGGTCTACAGTATGCCACTAGTTATAAATTGGCAAATAAATATTTGGAAAAAAAGAACTGATATCTAGCTCTTGCAAGCATAACTCAATGATATCCATTTCAACCTATAAGTTCTGAAAATAATCAAAGATGGCACATAACGATGTTAGATAATACGCAATCAAGTGATCTAAAGAACTGAACATGAAATTAAATAAAGAAAATCACCTCTCCATAAAGAATTGAACCAATCCCCCCTGTGTGCTGGTGTGCAACACCATAGATGACATCACCACCAGTTGGCAGACTAAGGCTTACCCTTTTGGTATCAGTGCAACCGTCTTTAGCCATGCCAGTGGAACAAGCCTTGATGTCATACTCAATCTGTAGCACCACAGATCAATTGCTTCACTGGCCAGAAAGAGGATAAATTGTCCAGGGAGACTGTACAAAATATAAATCATTGCCAAATACCAGAGTTCATTATATTTCAACTTTCGTTCTTCGAACATATGCCAATGTTTTGCAAAACTCATCTACGATCATGTACAGTTTGGCTATTAATATTTATGGAAACAAGTAACACTAAAATTTGCATTAAATCAATTACTGCAATTTTTCCTTTTTGTCAGGATTCATGGATAATAAGATCTCAACCTATAGGACAACATAGCTTGGAAAATATAAATTTCCTTCTAAAAGGAACCAGCTTCAATTATAATATTTCCAAAAATATGATACTGCATAATGGCATAAATTCTACCCTTAATATACTTCTCGAAGAGTAAAAACAACTTGACGTGTGTATAAAATTATCTCCAAGGTAGTAATTCAATCCATTTGAAGTAGGTAAATCCAACTATACATATATGAAAATGATCATTCACCTGGCAATCATGTTTTCCACTGAGCCCTGTTGTTTCACCTGACCTTTTCCATTTATCAGTAACATCAAGGACATAAATATTAACAGGCACAATGGAGTTATCCCAGTCAACCCACTTGACTGTGTATCTCAAGTAGAGACTTCTCTTGGCCCCCTCAAAGCCTTCTCTCAACCTGCATTGTTTATCATGATGGCAACATGTCATACCCCCTACATAATCTGGCCTCAAAGGGCGGCCATTATCATCCGTTGTAGCGTTGTATAGATCACACCTGCATTCAGTGCACCCCAACCAATCTTCTGTACCCCGTGTATCAATAGCATGCACATTGAGGAACCATATCTCCTCATACCCATCAGGAATTTCTGCCTGATTACCAACTTCTATTCCAAAAGGATCTGGCACATGTGTGGCTGTTTTTCGTGTTTCAGACCCAAGGCCCCAATGTTGTGGCAGACTACGATTGCATAACCCATTGTTCCCTGCAGTGATAATATCCGAGTTGTTGAAATCAACATCAGTATTGTCCTTTGACATTTCAACACCTTTACGTTGATAGTATCTCACAACAATCCAGTGATGGAGATAAGTTTCATAAAGGGGAACAGGGTTCCCTGCCTCATCAACCACTTCGGCATTGAAGTTCTTGATAGCAATATGACCTCTTGGAAAATCAATATTGTGGTAGTATCTGTTCACCACCGATCCTGGTTCCAGCACAAACTCAGGTGATAGAAATACCGCAGATTTTTCTCCATTTTTGTCTCTTAAACGAGCTTGTGAATTTTGAACACTTATCACCAAGAGTAAAATGGATACGGAAAGTAACCAAGCAAGAGGACAATGTGCCATGTATTTCTCTTGATGATTGTATATCTGTGGGGAGCATAAATATAGACAATTAATGCATGCCAAACAACATTACATTACATGAGGATTCTCTCTCTCCATGTGTGTGTATTTTTTTTTTTTTTTGGGGCGGGGAGTGTATTGGACAAAGAAACAACATTGAAACTATTGTTCGAAAACTAAGAGCTGTTTGAAGTTATATGCTTTAAAGACATGTTTTCTATCCTAAAATGTACGAAGAGTAAGTCTTAGAGCGCATATGACAAAACAACAATACGAGAAGCACCAAGAGTCATCTTCAAATTCATCCATCAATCTAGTATAAGAAATCAATCATTGTTTCTGCAAATATGCTGTTGAGATAATTTAAGTAAGCACCATGTGAAGTTGAAGACACCATATGTACATTCTAAAAGAACAAATTATAAATACACCAGTCATCAAAAACCAGAAAATTAACAAAAGATACTAATTGTTTGAGCCACGGAAACAATTCTACATACATTTAACCCTCCTTAAAACCCCGTAATCGCAGGAGCCTCGTGTAATGGGTATGCATTTACTAATTAGCCAAAAGAAGATTAACTTGATTAACTTTCAAGTGTTTCATAAATACATAAAACAAGCAGTAATTCAGGGCAGGGGGAGGGAGAAAACAAACTGAAATTATTTATATATTAACATCATCTGTTGGCAACTGCATACTGATCAGTAAGTAAATGACAAAAATAAAAGCATAATCAACAAAAATTTTCTGAGAATAAAGGGTACCCAGATGAGATAGGAGATGGGTAAATCCAAATGACAATTATTCTTCACTATGAGGTTTCTTACATGTGCAACAGTGCAAGAATGGAAGTAAAAATTGAGGGTATTTATGAGAGAAAGTTACTCATACCATGACACTTTAAGCTTTGAATAAGTATGAAGGTGGCCATTTTTATATCTTGCAACAAGTATATTTCGATGAGGGCAGTGCTTACGCCATTGCCGGCATTATAACACCAATCGGAAACTTCAAAGAAAGGAAGAGATTTAAAATATACTTTGGGTTCCCAAAGTATGGGTTTAGTGATTATTTAATCTTTAATTTTTCAATTATGTTTATTTGTTCTCTAAAGTTTTTAATTTGTATCTATATAGTCCAATCACAAACAACCGTTAAAAAATCGTGATAATTCTTATCACGGTCAATCACGTAATTCTTAATTTTATATTTATTTGGTTCTTATAATTTTTAAGTTGTATCTATTTAATTCTTAATTTGTATCTATTTAATTCCACATGATTAGCGCGTATCTAGAACCGTGACGATTTTTTTATAGGTGTTTAAGATTGGATTATATAGATACACATTAAGAACCCTTAGGGACCAAGTAAACACTATTGAAAGATTGAAGATTAAATAAATACTAAACACATTCTTTGGGGGTTAAGAATGTGGTTTACCCTAATTTTTTTATAATCTTTACCCGTAAGTGTGAGATAATTGGAGTTAAGGCCGGTGGCATAAGCCATGACGCTCAGCCACATCTGAAATAAAAATAAGGGTTAATCTCATTTTATACCTTGGAAGATCGTTCGAATCTCAATTTACACCCTCAAAGATAGAAATTTGTATCAATATACACCCCCAAAGATCAAAAATCTCAATTTACACCCTCAAAGATATAAATCTGTATCTATGTGCACCTAAAATTAAATTGATAAATTATACCTAGATCCCCTCGTGTTTGTCACTTAATCATTTGAACCCCTTCACATTTAGAATATTACCCCTACATCTCATGACATTTGTACATGTGTAAACATAACCACTTTTCGTTGATATCTATTAATATAATCGTTAAAAAATATGATTTTATCCTAATAAAAAATTATAATTTCATATTACCCTTTATTTTGTGGATTCGATATACTCTAAAGTTCAAAATCAAGCTTACCATTTGAATGTCTAATAGAATGTAGATATTTATA